CGAGATCTGGGAGTTTGTGAAGCGAAGCGGCGCCCCCGCGCTGCAAGGATAAGCCGCGCCCGGCGGCGCGGGCGCCAGCGCGCCCGGCGGCGCCGGCGAGCGGTCGAGCAGTTGTTGCCGCCGGGCTTCGGCCGGCGCGCGTGGGCAGCTTGGCGCCTCGCGGGGGCTGCAGGGGTGCTGTCAAGGCAAGGCGGCTTCTTGGCCGGCAAGGCGGCTTACCTCACAGGTACCCCTGCAATATAAAATTCTGGCTCCCCGCCGCAGCTTGTCGACCCACCCAACCAAGGGCGAACAAGCAAGCGGGTCTTTGGGTGCAGCCCTGGGCGTTCGACGCGTTTGCTCTCATTTCTTGTCGGGACAAGCCTTTGTTGGGGCTTTCAGGCCACTCAATTGAATTTCGTTCGACCGGGGTGTCCGTAAGGGCCCTGTATGCCGCGCACGGCTGTGAGGGGGGCGGCTCCCCGTTGGTCAGGCCTGGTCGGCGTCGCAGTCTGAGGCTCTCCACCTGCACTTAGCCTTATTATGCGACTTCCACGTCATGCAACGCATGTAGTGCAAATTTGCGACCTTGGATGCCATGCATGTTGTAACTTGTTGAATTCTGGCTATTGTGCAGGCAGCGGGCCGAGCTGCGCCGAGCCGGGGCTCCAACGAGTCAACGCCCTCTTCCCGATTGTGCGGTGTCCTTCAGGTGGCTGCTGGCTCACAAGCCTAGCAGCCAGCGCTTGGTGATCCATGCACATGATCCAACGCAGGCATACGAAGTATGATGGCGATGGGCTTGGCGCTCGAGGGCATGGTCAAGGATTCAAGCAGCACCTGCAAGCTCGGCGCAGCGGTCAGCATGCACCGTCAATTGGCCCAAACATGGTGCCACTACCATACCACGTGCAAGAACACCGTTGCTTACATCTTGCAAGCGATTTGTGCTAGTAATCACGTTATTCTACGTCACTTCATCACGCCTTGATTGTCACTCGTGATCACCCGCGTTTAGATCAGGCGCTCCTGGCAATGAAGCGCAAAGAATTCTACCGCGCATTCTGTTAAATCGTATGAGAATCATATTGTGTCTGGAAACCTCTGCGGGGTCGTGCCTCAAAAACGCCAGCATGACCTGCTGGGCTATGTTCAGCAGCGGGACGCTGACAGGTGGCGTTCAGCGTGCCATGATCACCCCCAGGTCGATGCTGGGCTGTCGTGGCTGCGCAAGAAGGCAAGTGCGCGAGCGGCGCGTTGCCCGACGCTTTTTCGTTTTGTCACTGATCGCCGCACTGGTGTGTCATGCCTGCGATCGTTGCTCTGCCAGCCGTAGTCACAATATATTTCTCATCTGTGTATGCAGGGGCTTGGTAGACTTGCCAGGCGCTGCACAGGCACGCCGGATGGGCGCGCTGCCGCGGGCGGCACCCCCTACGCACAGCTACCTGCGGCTGCAGCCGCCCAGCGCCGTAGCGGCCGCAGCGGCGGCGGCCGCGGCTCCCGCCCTGGTCGCCGGCACCGCTGCGGCGCAGGCGTACGCCCTGCCGGCTCTGATCAAGGCCGCCGGCGTATTCGTGCTCTGCTGCGCCGGCGCCGCACTGCTGCTCGCCGCCATCCCGGTGCTGCTGGCCGCGGCGCGCGCCGCGCACCGCGCCGAAGCCCTGCTGCGGGTGGGTGGCCGCACGCAGTGCCGCCCGCCTGCGCTTCGACGCCTACGCGCGCCCCGCCACAGCGGCTGCGCGCTGGAATGCAGGCTGCGTGCGCCTGTTGCTCGTCATGCAGCTTCCGCGGCTTGCACTCGACACTGTATGAAATAAAATACGAAACATATGTCAACGCATCCACAGACGATCGAGGCGGAGATTCCAGACACCATGGCGTCCATGCGGCTGTCAGGTACGGGGGGCAGCCGCCTCCAGCAAACCCGCCCGGCACGCAGCCGCGAGCCCGGCGGGCGTGGCGGCGGCCTGAGTGATCCCCCACGCTCAGCCAAGCACCCGCGCGACCCAGAGGTCCCCCTCGCGACGCCCACGCCGCGCCCGCCGCGCCGCTATCGCCAGGCATGGAGCTGTCGGACTGCCTGACAGAGCTGGGGGCGCTGGGCAGCGACCTGATCGGTGGCGTGCGCGCGTCCGCGCGCATGCTGAGCGCAGCCGAGCAGGGCGTGAGGGCTGCGCCGGCCGCGGTCGCGCGCGTGGTCACGCCCGCCATCGCCTCTACTGAGTCACGGGCGCGAGGTGGGGGCGCGGCGCGCGCGGCGCCGCTGCCTGCCGCGCGCGCGTCGTTCTGCTGCGTCCCCTCCTGCGTAAAATCCCGCTCACCTTCTTGGATCAGTCGCCACGCCTGTGAACCCCTGGGGACTGCCCCTTCATTTGCCGTCCCTGGCGGCGAGAGCGGCGCTCGGCCGAGCGCCGCTCTCGCCGCCACAATGTGTTGTCAGCTCGAGGGGCTTGACAGCTGCGCACACCCTTGCATCTGTTTGATCCCGACCACCAGGCACCCTCGAGGCATTGCTGCTGGAGCGCGCCTCCCCAGAGGTGGACGTGTTGCCGCAGCTCGGCGCCGCGCTGCGAGGCGCGACCGCCGCCGCCGCCCGCACGCGCCGCGGGCTGGCGGCCGTCGACTTTGCGGCGGCGGCGCTCAGGGCGGGCGCGGCGGTGCGGGGGTTGCTGGATGACAGGGCGCTCCGGGTGGCGCGCGCGGGCGTCGCCGCGGCGGGCGCGGGCGCGGTGCAGCCGGCGGGTGGGACTGGCAGCGGCGGCGGCGGT